TCCTGTCGGACACTGGAAACCTGAAGCATATGTAAGTTTTTCAAAAAAAAATAAAAATAAAACTAAATAAATTTATAACTGTTAAGAAAACATTTATTAACACAAAATATCGACTTGCATTATTGATTATACTTTAAAAAAAAGATAAATTGAGTTAGGGTTTTTACCTCACCTGCGATTAAAAAATTTACCATTATTTACATAAATATTTTGTAGCAGTTTTACCAAGATGGTCCTCGAATTGAAGCAGCATTTAGAAAATATATTCACAGAGCTGATGTATCTCAAACAGAAGATTCATATGATATTCTTGTAAGCCATGCAAATGTAATTAGATATTTCGTATGTAGGTCAGTAAATTTAAAATTAACTCTTTTGGGGTAGTGCATTATAAAAAAAAAAAGGGATGCAAAATATTTTTATTTATATTTTCATAGAGCCTTACAATTTCCTCCTGATGCTTGGTTGCGATTCACTATTCATCACTGCAGCATAACATGGATAGTAATTACACCAACTGGACGAGTTATTGTTCGTGGACTAGGAGATTCTGGTCATATTCCGTCTGAAGCCGTCACTAGTAATTAGGGTACACACACCAACAGTACAGTGCAATTTTCTGGGAAATTTTTTTTTAATTTTATTGGACTGGATATTCATAATTATTCCTCATTGATAATAATATCAATGTTATGTTTTTTCATTAAAATTAATAATAATAATAATAATAATAATAATAATAATAATAATAATAATAATAATAATAATAATAGGTGAGAAAAAGAAAAAAATTAAATAAACTAAAAAATACTTTTTTTTTTTTTTTCATAAAACATTTTAATATATATATATATTATTTATTAAATTTTTTAACTGATAATTTAATAATAATTTTTGGATAGTATAACATCTCGAGTATTTAAAAAAAAAAAAAAAAAAATTTTTTTTATTATAAGACCTGGTATTAAAGAAGTGCAATTTGACTATAAAATATAAATTATTCATTTAATATATAATTTTTTTTTTTGTGATAAAAGTTAAATTATATATATATATATATAAATAATAATATTGGTCCTTCAAACTGTGCTAATAATATAAATGGATAGAAACCTGAAAAAGAAATTTTGCCTGTAGTGTGTACCTAGGATCTTTATTATATTTTAAAAAAAATTAAGGTAATTGCCTTTTTTTTTTTTATATAATTTTTTTAAAACATTGTATTTGAATATATATTTAATCATCTTCGTCATATTCATCATCATCATCATCGTCTCCTGGTGTACCCAAAGCTCGAACAAATTCGAAAAAATCAATTCTACCATCTCCATCCACATCAACTTCTCTTATCATTTCTTCAACTGAAAAAAAAAATCAACATTTTTATTAATATAAAGAGTAAATATTTAATGTATTCTTAATAATTATTTATTGTAAATGTATGATAATTTTATTATTATTATTTTTAACATAAAAAACTTACTTTCTTCTTCTGATAATTCTTCACCCAGACATTGCAAAACAGCTCGAAGATCAGAAGCACTTATAAAACCTCGATTATGTTTATCAAATACCTAAAAACGATCAATTATTAATTTACTACTAATAATAATAATAATAATAAAATCATTTTCTTAACTAACTCTAAAAGCATCTCTAAGTTCTTTCTCTTCTTCATCAGCTGTTTTTTCAGTTGCTGCACCTCCCATATTTGATACGATTTCAACAAATTCTTCAAAGCTAAAATTTCCATCTCCTAATTAAAAAAAAAAAAAAAAAAAATTGTTTAATTAATTCATTTACCACAAAAAAACAATTTAAAAAATTTTTTTTCTACCATCTATATCAACTTCCTTAAGCATTTCTTGTAGTTCTTCTTCTCTGGCAAATTGTCCTAAAGATCTCATAACTCTTCCAAGTTCTTCTTGAGTTATACTACCATCACCATCTTTGTCAAAAAGTCGAAAAGCTTCTCGAAATTCTATACAAAAAAAAAAAAAAAAAAAAAAGAAATTTTTAACAAAGAATGTAATAATGATTTCAATCAAACTAATTATTATTATTATTATTAATTACCCTTCATTTGCGATTTTGATATGTTATTTTTCGTCATTGTATCAATATTTCTTTTGTTCCCTGTTGTTGGATATGTTATTGTTCGACCGGTTACATTTCCATTTTTTTCCCTTTGTCCCCCTGGTTCGTCCCGTATTCTTCCAGATATATTATGTTTCGTCTAAAATGTAAATTTTTCCAACTTGGTCTTACTTTAATAAATAATTTTATCTTATTAAAAACCTCATTTAAAAAAAAAAAACAAGCAATTAACAGTATTAAAACAACAATTAAAAAATATAATAATAAGAAATTTATTTATTTATTTATTTTATTTTATTTATTTAATTTTTTTTTTTACTCTTTCAAGATATTTTATATTGTTTATAATTTATTTAAGTTGATTATTGATTTTTATTACAGTCATTATTTAAAATAAATAAATAAATAAATAATTGATTGTGGAATCTTATGTGTTTTTTTTTAATAGTATTATTTGATAAATAGCAAATAACATAATTAATTATCATTATTAAATAAAATACAAACAATGTGTAAAATTGATTTTAAAGTATACAAAAAAAAAAAAAAGGTAATAAAAATTTTTATGATGATGATGATGATGATGATGATGATGATGATGATGATGAATTCTCTTTTTTTTGTTAACATTTGATTTCAAATTGATTTTCCAATTATGTTGTAATCAATCATTTTTATGTTTTTTCTTTCTTTATTATTTATTTTATATAGTTTGTTTTTTGAAAGCCATATTGTTATTTTTTTATGTCTTATAACATTAGTTTAAAATAAAATTTTAATGGTATTAATAAATTATTATTTAAAAAAAAAAAAAAAAAAAAAAGTTTTTTGATTGTAAAGCTTTTTAATCTTTTTTTTTTTTTTTTTTTAAAATTTCAAGTATGCTTTTTTTTTTAGGTATAACATCAACAATATGTGAGGCTACAAATAATAATAAAAAAAAAAAATGACTTACCATTAAACCTCTAATGTGAGAAACCAGAGGTGACGAAGAAAAAAATTGACCGAAAATGTTGGACAGTTTGCCCTCCACAGTTGACACTTTATTGAAAATATTTAGGACCTAATTTTGAATTTAAATAAAATGTAAGTATTAAATTATTTCTTATATTTAAAAAAAAAAAAAAAATTTTAATACAAAAAGCTTAATTCTTAATTCCTGTTGGGCGTATAAATAATGAAACCTAATAAAACATTAATAAAGAAAATGTTTTTTTTTTTTTTTTTTAAGGGATTAAATGTAAATCGATTTTTTCTTTTTTCTTTTTTGGATTATTATTTCTGTTTGATTTAATATTATTATATTAAAAAAAGTAAAAAAGTAAAAATAAAAAAATAAACAATAGATTTCAGATAGCAATGCACTTGTTGCTCTTCCCAAATATTATTATTAGTTTTTTATATTATTTATTTACCTTAAGTATAAGTAAACTAAAAGGTAAAGAATAGATAGTGTTTAATACTTACAATGATAAGAGAATATAAAATTTCTAAAAGGGATGCTGGAAATTTTTGAGATGCGCATTCAGATTCGTGTGTGTTGAAATGTTCAATATTTCGAGGTGGTATATTTGCAAAACACTTCAAGTCAATTAAGCTTTAATTTTAGTTTTTTTTTCTCTCTGGAATCCTAATGAAATATTCATGTTTTGTTTCTTATCTTAGCTTCTTTCTTTTTTGTAGTAATTTTATATGTAATTTTTATTGCTGATAAACAAAAACTAATATTACTAATTATTACTAATAGAAAAATTAGTAGATATTGCTTATGACTATATTATACACTATTACTTACTGTAATTCCCCTTTATTTATAATTAATATGAGTAATAATAAAAATTAACTCGAAATAACGATTGATAGGTATTAAATTTTTCGTACTTAAAAAGAATGTTCTAGAGCTTTTGTATAAAGTGTCTGCAACTTTTCCCTCAGATTCGTATTTTGTAGCTAAAAAAAAAAACAAAAATTAATTTATTGCCTATTTAAATCAATAAATAAAATTTACTTAAATGATTAATTAAAAATATTAATGCTTTTTTACTATTTAAATTAATCGTTCTTTTTAAAAAACTTATTAAAGTATTACGCCTTCTACATTTTTTAAATAAACGGTAAAATTTCAACATGGAGGGAAATTTGTCGTCTTAATTTTGGCAACATGTCGCAACTAATTCCACTTAAGCAGTGTCGCAAAAATTTTAATACAATGAGTATGTTTCTCATTCTTATCCAGTAGGTAATGTAGTTATTAGTTAATTTAACGGTTAAATGTGGAGTTATTAACTAAAAATATAAAATTTAAATAATGTAAAAAGTATAAAGTGTATTTTTTCGGTATTATATACGTCATAAGTTCTTAAAAAAAACTTTAAATGGGATTTATATGATAGAAACGAGGAATAAATAAAACTTTTTAACTTTTTAAACTTCAAAGGTAAGTGATGATTTTTCAAGGTCACTGATACATAATTTTAATTATTTATAAAACTGTTTTTTCCTTAAAATTTATAATAAATTTTATTTTCGTTGAAACAACAACTGAATGTTATATTTCGTAGGTGCCCAATAAAAATAACTAATTTAAATTGTGGGAAAAGGATAAAAAAATAAAAATAAAATAAACACAAACTCATTTTTACCATTTTTTTGGATTTTTATTTTTTTTTAAATTTTTTTTCTCAACTTTTTTTCTTATTTTTTTTTTTTTTTGTTTCTTTAAAATTTATATATTTATCTAAAACAATTATTATTTTGCATCAAGAAATAATTATTTATAAGGAATTTTCCGTTTTTTTTTTTGCATAATAATCAATCATTTTAGAAAATTTTTAAATAGAATTTTTTTTATTGAAAAATTCTAAATAGTAGAGGCCATTTTAAGGTAAACACGACAATCGTTGATAGAAAAAAAAAAAAAAATTTAAAGACAAGCGTTAAAGATTTAAAAAAAAGAGAAAAAAGAAAAACGAAAAAAAAAAACAAAACAGTTTTTTTTTTGAGCAAGTGTGAAAAATTCTTTTTTAAATTTAATTTTTCACGATTGTCGCGTGGGCTCAAATTTT